GAGAACTCAAGCGGAGCTGTGCCTGGAAAGCTGACCAGCCTACACCGTGACCACCTTGGGTGTAAGTAAATAATCTTTTCAATCAACCATTACGCCTCCGTGACTGATTCTAGCTCAAGCGTACCATACCGCACCGCGGTTTTCTCCGGCCCCGCGTGCCCGGGCTGCTGGCCACAGCCTGTGTGCACAAAGACGGGCCCGGCTCGCCCCCGAGATCGGGAGACGGCCCGCACAGTAAGTAGTCACATACCTGCCCAGCCAGCATGTAGCCTACTGCATATGCTCAGTCTATGTATTCACAGTGCAGGAGGAGCACAATCCCCCCCCCCCAAACTGTGTGTAAGAGGCAAAGACAACACTCGCACAGCTAGAAACCCGCCACTTAGGTGCACAACAGGAAGTGGAATCCCACCTAAGGCTTCTCAGTACAGATGTTCTGAAGCTACTTGGAGATTTTCAGCTCATAGCTAACACCTTGACCACTACATGAAAACCAACAGGCAGCAAATGCTGGTAATAGCTGGGCCATGTGCTCCTGATGAAGAACCACAATGAGGGAACAAGTAGGGTTACAATATTTCCAGGTCCAAAAAAGAGGACATCTGTCAGGGGGACACCTCACTCACAACTCACAGCCCCCTGGCCCTGCCAGTGCCCCTCACTCCTGACCTACAGTTCCCCACCCTTCAGGCCATTCTGGTGCCTCCCATTCCTGACCCACAGTCCCTTGGCACTGTCAGTGCCCTGCACTCCTGACCCACAAGCCTCCTGCCCCCCATGCCCTCACTCCCAAGCCATGGCCCCCTCAACCCTGCCAGTGCACCTCATTCCTGACCTGCAGCCCCCTGCTCCCCCCAGCCCTGCTGAAAGGGGCCCCCAGCTACCACCATCCTGACCAGGCCAGAGCACAGCAACTCTGATTTATGCAGGCAGTGGCAGAGCAAATCCAGCTTGGTGTGGGCAGGAGGGAAGAGGAGGGGAGGTCTGTGGCACCCCCTGCCCTGGGCTGGGGCTCCAGTGCTGCACCAGGTGGCCTGGCTATGCCCCCCCCCGGGTAGCATATCTTGGCTGCTCCACTCCTGTGAGCATGGGCACCAGCCCCTGTGCTACCAGCCCAGCCTTGGAGCTCCCTGCCACCCGCATAGGGCTTCTCTGCCCCCTTCCCCCATTGGGGTCCCCCCCCCCCCCCCTGCCACAGCCTCAGCACCTGGACAGCTTCCCACAGCACTGTCAGGCACCCACCCCACCTCACACACCCTTCCCCTCCACACACCCCTGCCACATACCCACACACATCCTAGACAGTCCCCAAGCCCTGGTCCTCCAAGCCCCGCTCCCATAGTCTTACCTGCATCTAGCTGCCAAAGCTGCTGCCACCTGGCTGCCTGGCTACATACTGACCATGTGCATATACGTATGCACTTGTACATGGTGCTCCTGCTTACAGTTGCCCTCCCCCCACTTGCCCCTATGGAGAAAGCAAAATCCCAGACATTTATTCAGATTTCAAAAATCCACATGGACGGAGATCGGTGGATCGAAAAAGAGGACATGTCTGGGAAAACCTGCATGTATGGTAATCCTAGGAACAAGTGTCTACTGGCCATAGACAGAGATTCAGTTGGAGAGGATTTAAGGTGTGGAAAGGCAAGAGTTCATACTGCTTTGGGATTTAGAATTTTTCTGGGTGTATCTAATCCAGCATCTACCCAACTGAAGCAAACATACTGAGAACCCACCTGGCTGTTACTAACCAGTGCAGGTGGCCAAAAGTGTGATACATGTAAATATGTTGAATTTGCATTTGTGAATCTAAAGTTATTTTTTCTGCAGAATCTGCTAATGCCAATACATTTCTATTTTTACTTTATGTTCACAATATATTCTGTACCTGCTAGGATGGCAGCACACTTTCTCACACTTACAGGTGGAGTAATTTATTTATGAAAATCCTGGGGCAAACGTAACAAAAAAAATAGGTGTGGCATGTTTGAAATGAGGGGCAGAAGTAGCCACAACTTGGGAGACAGATTTTCAATGATTTATATAATTGAAAAGATTCAGAAAGGCACCAATTTTAAGAAGCACTTAGGCAAGCCCAGTGCCCCCTCCCCTAATCCCACTGGCTGCCTACGTGCATTTTTAGATACATTTCTAAATGCTTGTGAAAATCTGGCCTGATGTGCTCTATGCAGCCACTTTGGGAGGAGGGAAGTGGGGCTTGAAAGACAATAACAAGATAGGTGTAAGGCTCCTTTGTGCTTTTCCATATTGCCCTTAGGCTTTTCACTTACCAAGCAGGGACAGGCCTTTGGGCCAGGTGAGCTCACAACTGTTAACCATCATGCAATGCTATACTTGACACATTTTGCAAATTCTGTAGAGACCTAACTTGTCTGGAGCAAAATATTCAGCTTTTTAGTTGAGGCACTCTGCTCTGAACAAAGGGGAAATTAGGGCACAGGGAATAAAACCTGAAGATGTGGCAAGAATGGCTGGAGAGTAGAAGTTGTTAGAGTCCTAGATTGCAATGGTAGGTGGGAGATTGGTGGAACATCTATCATGGTATACTGGGTAGGTGGGTTCTGGAAAGCATAGTATGCTATGGTGGATGGTTTGTTGCTGGAGGATGTAGAGTGCTAGATTAGATGGGTCAGTAGATTAAATCTACTAGGTCATTTATAGATGTTATGTTTTTCTAGGTTTAATCCAAACTACAGCCATCACTATACACACATGGACATCTGTATTCCAAACTAAAATTGGTTCCAGTTCAAATTAACTAATCATTGAATGAGGACTAAAGTTGTTGCAGATTAGGGCAGTCTGAACTAGGCAATTTAAACTATATTAATTAACATGTATATATGACATTGCTTTTAGGAAAAACAGTCCTTAGGAACCAGCAGATAAGTATTGCAAATATTAGTCCCGGCAATGGAAACTCAACTTGGTTTTTGCAATACAACAGAGGCTATCAAGCACAAAGTAACACCTTTACAAATCAAATGTGCCAACAACACCTCACCATGATTAAGTATCAGTATTCTGAGTAAGCCTCCAGCCCTGCTCAAGCACACCAACTACTGATCTGTGAAAAAAAAGTGGCAAACCCCTTTGCCACCTGCCCCTCTCCCTCCTGCCCCCAAAACCACATTGGCTGAGGTGGTCATTAACACTGAGGTCAATTGCACCCATTAGGCTTCAGAAACTGCACTTCAGGTAACTGTCAGTTGGTTTGCAACAATGTAGCAGTGCTTAAATAGTTTTATTCTCACCTCCTACTTCCTTCCAACCAAGTGCTAAATCCAGACACAAAGGCTGTAAATTGGGTCTCTTAAGGGACCGATGGTCAATAATCATCTATTAACCCTTAATTTGAATTGAAATTAGATTCAAACTGTGTCATGTAAATTACTTAAAATGGTTTAGAAAATGGTGAGCTCGTCTACAAGGCCAGCATGTTCTCAGATTATGTGAAAGTTTTGCTATCATACCAAGCATACTATGCAAAGGTCTTTCTATAACACAGTTTCTCCACCTGTGGTATGGAGAACATTTTACCCCTGGGGGTATGTGAGACACAGGCAGGGGGTACATGGGTACCCTAACACTCTCTCTTTCTCGCCCTCTTTTCCCTTCTCTCTTGCCCTCTTTTACTCTCAAAACCATGGCAAAAAATTTGGTGCGCTGCGCATTAAAATTCCCCAGTAATAACTTGGCATGCCATGCTTTGTGTGGCACTGGGCTCAGCCCTCCTAGCTTTGGGCAACATCACCTCTAGCCCAGGTACATACTTGAGTTGTGCACCGCTGGTGTAAAAGGTGGCAACTCTATCCACACCAGATCAGACATCTGTCATATCATGGCCTTATATACACAGTCCTTCTTCCAACATATAGCACACATCAGTCTGTAAATATAAAATCCCCTGGAAAGTTGAGTGCTGGGGTACTTATTAAAATTTTCAGGAGTTAGCAGGTACTTGCTACTTAAAAGGTTGAGAAACACTGTTCTATAACAATGCATCATATTACACATAAAAATATTGCTATAACACCACATATTGCATATAATTCCACAAGTTCACCACCTAAGTTTAAAGGAAGGCACCTCTATTTTAGATGTTTTCTTGGAATGCAACTCATCTGTTGGACTGCTGCCAAAGCTTAGGACAAAGCTGTTCACTGCCTACCATCCACTCTCAAGACTTGTACCTCATTGCTGGATGTGGTGTCTGACACTGTGGTTCTCGTAACTGTTTGCCATATGGTATTAAGAGCAACAGTAACTATGAATTTAGAGGAAAAATGTTCAGCTAATTCAGCTGTTCAGGATCTTGGCAGAAAGATGTCTCAGGAGTGAGTTTGAGGGAGTTAATTTGCCATATGTGTGACTGTTTTACTCTCACACTGCTCAGCCGATTTCATTTTCTACTTCCCATGTTTCTTTCTTTAAGAACATCCTATTGCACAGATGGGAAAGAGAAACCAGTTCACAATAACTGAGTTCATTTTACTCAGAATTTTCTAGTTTGAAAGAACTACAGATCCTATTCC